TTACATGCCCTGCAGGAACTCTCCCCGCCCCTTTTCCTTTTGCCTTTCAAAGCAATTTGTTGCAGTGTTTTAGCATACAAAAAAATACAACCGTTTTCTTCAGTGTAAACAGAGATCTGCAGGGAAATAAGAGCCTTAAAAAAGAATTAGCATGTTTGGTGGAAAAGCTACTTTTATTTGTATCAGAAAGCTCTGAGTCTTAGATGGACTTGCTTAATCTTAGTTATTCCATACATAAAAGGGTAATAATAGCATACTTTTTCTAATCTTTTTAAATTGCATCTTCCTGTATTTCTTACTGTGAAATGAGAAATGTTCTTGGAACAATGGAAATAATTGGGCATTAGTTCTCCAAACAAAAACCCATGTAGAACCTATCTGGCGCAAATTTATCTTTCAGCTCCTGGTGAGCTGAGTGCGGGAGGTAGAAGGTGGCAACAGGTGGATGTAACAAAGGGGGGAAAATCCATTTGTCTCCTTCCCATCAGTATTAATAGTAAAAGTTTATTTATTTGGGCTCTGCATCTTAGGGATTTATTTAGCTGCTCAGATTGGCTGAGGTTTAGCATTGCACAAATAATGAGGAGATGGATGGTTTAGCAAATTAATAGAGAAAATAAGATGGCGGCGGGTGGGGGAGTTTTAAGCTACTTAAAAAGACCTCTGTTTCCCAGTACTGATGGACTGTTTTAGTGAACTGTTAGCATCTAATGCATATAATTCATCATGGACAGTGAGTAGTATCTATCAATTAAGACAATTAAGATAGGACCTTATTTTGATAATAGGACCTTATTATAGCAACATCTGGTTAGCTCCTGTAGCTCTAAAACTTTCTCAAATGATACATTATTACTTACACATGTTACATAGTGGCCCAGCACTGGTGTTGGAGTTAGGAAACCTATAGTTTAAGGCCAAGGATTAAGGTGGCCTTTAGGAAAGCTACTTAAAGTATTAATGTGCTAGGTTTTTCATAGGTCACATGACCAGGTGATCATGCCATAGATCAGGCCTCACATCTGTGGTCCTCATCGGGGGTATAACAAGATTGCCTTAGAAGCTTTTGCAAATTATGGTGACTGTCCTTCCTCAACCTCCCCTAAAATTCTGATGTGTATCTCTAGTTTACATATCAGACTAATAGCTATGAAAATTATATTGTTCAATATTGTATAATTCATAGTTTTCAGGAGTTTGATGCCTCTAAGGTATTTATTGTGCTTTCTGTGTGTTACAATAGGACCTGCAGGGGATACTGAGATGAAAATATATGATGTTTGCCTTCATGGTGTTGATAATTTAGTAATTCTGTGGGTTGCCATTCAGTTTCAAATCAGGAAGATTTTACCCAGTGGATATATTGGATTTAGATGCTATTTTCACCACTGTGAACTTTTAATGAGTGAACCCTCTTGCTCCCAAAGAAACAAATGATTGACAATAAAGCGGGGGTTTTTCAAAGAGACCTTTCATCTGAGTCATCGGGGACAGCCTTAAAATTGGAGATTCCAGTCCGGCTGTCATGGCTCAATGGTTGAGCATCCACCTATAAACCAGGAGATCATGGTGCGATTCGCAATCAGGGCACATGCCCAGATTGTAGGCTGGATCCCCAGTGCTGGACATGCAGGAGACAGCTGATCAATTATTCTAATTACTGATGTTTCTATCTCTTTCTCCATCTCCCTTCCTCTCTAAAATCAATAAAAACATATATTAAAAAAATAAAAATGGAGATTCCTGAAAACATCACCACAGTCCAGTTTTGGAATACTTCTATCACTCCAAAAAATTCTTCATGACTGCTTACAGTCAATCCCCATTCCCCTCTCCAGCCCTCAGCAAGCAATGATCTGCTTTCTATATCAAGAGTTTTATCTTTTCAAGACATTTTCTATAGTAAATGGAATCATACAATACATAGTCTAATGTGTCTCTTTTCCTTAGCATAACAGTTTTAAATTTTTTTCACATATGCTTCAGAGCCCTTTATTCCCTTTCTAAAATGGATGAATTAATAGTATGTAATGTAGATGTTAATAAAGTTATGAAACATTTTTTAAAAAACGGAGATTCCTGGACCTCCTCCTATCTCACTAAAACAGAATCTGGGAGTTGACCCAGGAATCAGAATGTTAAATACTCAAGGTGATTCTTAAGAAACTCAACTTTTGAGAAAAATTGCTCTGATGAATGATATGAAATCAAGCTTAGGTCTGAATAAATGAGATCAAATGACATCAACTAATATACACTCAACCAGAGCTGCATTTAAGTGTAGATACATTTGAAGTTAAATAAGGAGAAATAATAGAAATTCTACCTTTAGATCCCTTATTTCATTATTTTTTTTGGAGAAATTGCAGTGCTTGAAGGTAAATTTTTATCTATAGAAATCCTCATAGATGATTTTTCTGGGAGAAATAAGGCTGATGGAGCTACTTTGTAGTTTTATATTGAATAAAATGCCCTTCTTAGGGGTCGTTTTGTAAGGAAAACTACGTAGTTCACAAATGTCCCTTTTACTGACAAATGTCCATGCTCTGAATAGACCATATGGCAATTCAACGCAAGGCCTTCGGGTTCTTGTTCTGGGGGAGGTGCTGGAATACGCGCACAGGTATGTCTTCACGTGCATACACACGTGCACTCGGACTTCTCTGGGTTACATTTGGTGTTTGCGCAATAGATTGCCACCCTTCTTTTAATCCAGCATGGAATTAGACCCAGTCAAATAAATTAACATTCCATCTTGATTTGTTTGGCAAGAACACATTTCCATGCAATTTGTGGGCTGACCCTCATGACCTTCCCTTAGAAAAAAACACACCAAGTGCTTTGAGTTTTTGCATTAATGGGCACTGAGAAGCTGCCCGCCCTTATTTCTGTTTTTGTTCAAGTCAACATCATTGACCTTTACCTAATGACCGGTGCAACACACAAGTGCATGCCAGAGATTCATAGTGGAAAAAGAGAGAGGTGAGGAGGGAGGCAGGTGGAAGAAAGGTGTGAGAGAGGCAATTTGTAATTTATAATGGAACAAAATCAGCAGTCACTTTTTAAAAAGCAAAAGTGCTGTGTGTTCTATATTATGTTGCTATAGAATGAGTGGGCGGAGTATCTTTTTCAAATGGGTTTTCCATTTGTTTTTGGAAAGGTAATTGATACCACCATATATGTATTCCAGGTTTCTGAGTGCCTTTCTGTGGCTGATAAAAATAAGAATGATTTAGGATCTTGCAACAAACAGATAATAGATGTACCTGATCCTTTCCTGGTCATGTGCTTTCACCATTTCCTCATCACCTCCGAAGACCAAACATCCTGGTCTGCGTGGGACTCTCTCAGTTTAGCACTGAAATCCCTAAGTCCTAGGAAAACCCACATAGTCAGTCACTCTAAATGCATTCGTATTCAACCTGATTAGACAGATGTTTTCTAATGTGACATTCAGTTTCCTACGACGGTCTGTTCTCTGATGGAAATCTACAGCCTTTTGTGTCCTTGGTTCCCTTTTTCATTTACCTTGAAAGGTAGCAAATGCACGGAGATCTATTTCAGCTTGGTCACTTGTTTCATTCACCCAGCCCTTGAGTGCTGGGAGGATCTTTAGTTGTTGCATACAGCATTTCTCCTTCCAGATGAAGCATCTAAAGCTCAGAGAAGATGGATCTTATTGTCTGAGTTCATCCAGTTGACCAGACACAGATTTAGAACTTGAACACAGATCCTCTGGCTTCCAATCCCGTGCTGCTCTCAAAGTTCTCAAATGTGCTTGAAAGATACCCTGTCCTCTTAAGGGAGTGAATTTACTTTGGCAAAACTGAGCAACTTCACACCAGAAAGAAGCGGATGCACTCAGATTACACTCCATTCATTGCTTCCTGGAATTCTCCTGCAGGAGATTCTGATTCCTGTTGAGGAGCAGAGGCAGGGACTTCCTCCCCATGGTGAGGCTGGCTCCTCCTCATAGTCATAAGCACTGCATCATCCATGAAGAGGAAGAGGTCAATACTACAGGTATCTCACTCTGAGGAAGAGGTCCTGTGATCCTGTTACTTCTATTAATATTTCCAATTAATATTTTATCTTGAAAGAATAAGCAGAAAACAGCATGTACTGATTATCATCTGTTGTTTAGAAGATGAACACATGCGTGTTACTTCCTCTGAAAGACTTGCACACTATCTTACGCCTATATTTTATTTATAGATTGAGCTCAATATTCTGAATCAGCTTCCTCATTTACCATCTGTTCTGTAATATCTCTTCCATCAAATCAGTTAAAAAACAAAAAACACCCACTTAGAAACAGAATCTTGAAATTCAACATGCACACTCCAAAGCCAGGTCATTATTTTCATTGAGAGATAGCAGCCCCAATGAGTTTCTTAAATGAGGGCTGTACTTCCTGAATAAGTTACAGAATTAAAAGACCACCTTTTTACTCACAGGGAGTTGTTGAGCCATTCTTAAGATTTACCAGCCAACACTCACGTCACTTAATTAGCTGAGAGCAAAGACTGATCGGAAAATTTTCCCATGTCAAATTTATTTTTCCTTGACTAAACGAATCAATAGGAACATTTTAGTTTAATATGTTTCTATTATCTTCTTGCTCCCATGTTAAAAAAATCTGCAAATCATGAATATTTAATGATCCAGGATGATTGGGCATTGAAGAGAATTTTTATGACCTCAGTGACTTTTCAGTCCCATAGTTAAAGAATATTTATTGATGGATCCTTAGTGCTATGATGTCTTTTGTCTCAGCCAGTGGTTACTAACTGTAGCTTTCTCAAGATGAATGTACTTTTCGACATTCCTAGAAGAGGACAGTTTCGAGTAGTTCAATGTAGACTAAGGCCAACTCACCTTTTGAATGAGGCTCCCAGTCTTGTTTGAAAAGAATCTCCCCTGCAGAGAACACGTGTCAGGCCCACGTGAACTGCTGGGAACTGTAATATTGACCCCCACCTATCTCTTCTGTTGCCCAGGGGATCATCCAAGATGGGAAAATCATCTTTATGCCGAATGGGTACATAACGCAGTGTCCGAACCTGAATCGCAGTAAGTAGCAGTTTAAAGCATTTGTAAATTTGTAACATTTTTGTTGATAATATCAGAGAATCAGGTCAGGAAGGATACCTACACACTATGTACAGTGTTGACTGATGAGGTGGTAAGGTTAGTGAAAGAGGACTTATCTAAGGGTACTAAATACTTCTTTGTCTTTGAATTTCTAAAAAGCTTATGTATTATTTATAGAATTAAAACTTGAAGGTAAGAAAAATTACATTAGCAGTTTGGGTTCAGTAGTTTGGTACAGAAAGATATCCTATATAATAAGAGAGGAATATGCTAATTAGCCATTATGCCCTGGGGCGTAATAACCAAGCATGCATTGACCAGATCACGGATCAGCAGGAGGGTGGGCCAGTGAGGTACAAGTGGGCTTCGGAGAGCTACAGGAGCGGGCAGGGCAGCAAGCTATGGGGGGTGGGGTGAAAGGGGAAGGGGGGCAGGCGAGGTAAGGAGGGCGGAGCAGCAGGCCGAGAGCTACAGGAGGGCGGCAGCGACCTATTGGCGCATGGATTCGTGTGCAGGGCTACTAGTGTTTAATATAATTATACATATTTTAAAAAGCTATTCTTTTTTTGAATTGCTATTTCTTTCATCTAATTTTGATAGTTGCCAACCTTATTGCTATATTTTACATTTTTTTATTTAAAAACTTTTTAAAACTTGTAGTTACATTGAATATTTTGTATTAGTTTCAGGTGTATAGCATAGTGGTTAGACAATCATACTTTACAAAGTGTTCCTTTTGATATTTCCAGTACCCAACTGGCACCTCACATAGTTATTACAGTATTTTTGACTATGTTTCTTATGTTGTAATTTCTTTAAAAACTATTCTTTAAACTGCTTGACCTGGATTTGAGTTTTCTTTTTCTTCTTCTATGATAATTTACATTTTCACAGTCACCTCTCAATAAAAACAAGGGTTTAATTTTAACTTAAAAATGTCATACTGTCTTCCTCTTCAGTGAGCAGGCTTTTTTTCCCCTGTTTCTTCCTGTTGGTTTATTAATAAAAGGGAGAAATCTAGACCTGAAATCCTCTGTGATTTTATGCCAGTTTCAAAGTAACACTTAAACACAAAAGCAAAAAGCCTTCTACATAGCCAAACAACTACTGTTTTAAAAATGTTCTTTTTAATATTAGCACTGTATCAACATTGGTGTTATCTTTTCTTTATTGAGCCTGCCCAACCTGTAGTGATTTCTTAAGCCTGGTGCAAGGAATAATGGATTTACAAGAGCTTTTGGCCAAGATGACTGCAAAAGTAGGTATCTAAATTTCACCTGTGATGTTTCACTTCTATCGCCATGCTGTCTGGAACGTAGAGTGATGTGCTCGAATGGAAACATTTTTAGCATTGGCATCTGCAATACATTACTCGAAATAGCACTACCTATAGTGAACATAACTATTTCTGTCTTCAATACTATTAGGCTGAATCAAAATGTTTACTTGAAAAATGTTTGGAAGAAAGAGGCATGTGTATCACCGCTGATTCCCTGGGAGTGGAAAAGAATTTGCCCATTGGCTATTAAACTGGTGCCACTGTGAGGTGATCTATGGTCAGAGCCACGGTGGCTCATAAGCTAATGCATTTCAGATGTAAGAATAATTGCCAATAATCAGAGGGGCAAAATAGCTATTGTTAGGAAGAGATCACTGTCGCAGCTAGGCCCTGTATCACATTTGTAATATATGATTCATTTCAGAACTGGCCCTGAGTTACACAGGGAGGGAGGCAAAGTTGCCTTTCAGCACCTTCAGTTTATAATTCTGCATCTTTTTCACTCTTCATCATCCACTTAACAAGAATCTTTGGAGGATTTGCTAGTTGCCAGGTGCTGTGTCAGGTACAAAGGAGACACAGGTGAACAAGACAGGATTTCTACCCCAGAGGTGTTCATATTGAGTGGCAGAGCCAAACATGTAAACAATTAGGGACTTTCATATATAAATATATATTCATAAAGTTTAGATTCATAATGAAAAGCCCTGAGCTTTGTGGAGAAAGGCACCGAATAAATAGAAAACGTGGCTATGTTGTTATGATACCCATCAGTTGCGGACATGAGTTCCGGCCCAGGGCAAAGAAAGAATTAGATTGGGCCTCAGAGGCGTTAGACTCTGCGAAAGGAAGAATTTTAATAACAGTGAAAATGATACATTAATCTATTCCACCCGCGGCTACAACTGCTCCCTGCCATCAGCCGTGGCACCTGGAAAAAAATTGGTGGAGAGATGTTTTGGAGATAGGACTGTTTTTTGGACCCGTAGATCGTGCTGCTGAAGACAGTACATTATTTCCAACTAGGTGTGTGGCCACGTCGCCTTTTGTCTGGGAACGGAGAGACAGAACACTTTTCTAAGAAACTGAGGCGGGGACTGGAGAGCCTGAAGCATTGTTTGCAGTTCACTGCCGAGTGCAGTGGAAATGGGAAATGCAGGCAATTATTTGCCTTCCCAGCTTGTGGCATAGGGAGGCTTTTATTTTATATTATGTGGAGCAGCTTGATCTCAATACCATTAATTATACGTTAGCTCGATGCCCAACTTTTGGAACAAGAAACATGTCACCCGGTCTCCAGTGATTGTGGCTGCTCCCTCCCTCGCTCCCAGGATGCCCTTTTCTTTCTCGGGCCTGCCTGTTCCGGGGAATGGCAGTCTTCTCTTTCTTAGTCATACATTATCCGGGAGTCACATGGCACTCTGTCCTCCAAACACTATTGTGTGAAATGAGCTTTTGTGAGGTAGAGATATTTAATTGTGGGCAGTGGCAAGCAGAAAATAATGTAATCCACCGTTTCACCCCCCAACTCCTTGCACTTTGGAAGATTTATATGTCCGTTTCTTCCAAACCGTGAGTAGAATTATACTGAGAAAACTTGAGCGCTTCCATTTTCACTGCATAATTTGGAATCTACGATAAGCAAGATGAGGAGTTGGCAAACTTTTCCTGTAAAGGGCCAGCTAGTGCATGATTGGTTTTGCAGGCCAAGAGGCAAAGTTGAGGATATCATGTATATATTTTTTTATTTAAAAATAACCATTTAAAATATAACCATTGAAAAATGGAAAAATTATTCTTAGTTCACCATATAAAAATAAGTCGTGGGCTCAGCTGGGTCAGTGGTTGAATGTTGACCTATGAACCAGGAGGTCACCATTTGATTCTCGGTCAGGGCACATGCCAGGGTTGCGGGCTTGATCTTCAGTGTGGGGCGAGCAGGAGGCAGCCACTCAATGATTCTGTCTCATCATTGATGTTTCTATCTCTCTCTCCCCCTCTCC